ATATACGACCACGAATCTATTATTGGGACTTTAAGATACTAGTTCTGGGCAGAACAAGTTAATATTGGTAATTTTCGATTTTGTGCACGTATGCCATTATTATACGTGTCCAAACTATTGTGCAGTTGGCTAACAGTCTCGTGAAGAAATTATATCACGTGTCAGGAAGTACTTCCTCTCTTTTATGCCGACTTCATCGCCACCCTAAATACCTACACAGTACACACGGTGCGTATGGAATGTCAGGTTACAAATAGGACTACCATCATATTACATTATATAATATTGTACGGGTTAGCGAGTTCATAAATTTGGAAAAATGTACAAAAATAAACAGCATGTATTAAATCCTATACAGGTAATTGTTTACAAATATAATTCATCATGATTCCAAGATAAATTGAATTTTCATCTACACAATTTCATAAATCAACCAATATATTATGGGCATAGGGCATAGGTCATTGAAGACAAAATCACGCAACAAATAATAAATATTTTGAATATTTATAAATATAATATGATGACAAGAATAAATGATACTTAACAAACTAAATTAAACGAATATTGGTATAATGATGGATTCATTGTAATTCATTAATTTATTGAAATTAAAAAAATCTAATATTTTAATGTATATAATTTACAACATTCATCGGTTCAAAATGAAGGTAAAATTGTTATTTGCTGAGAATTTCAATTTTTACTGAAAAATTACAAACAACGTGTTTGTAGTGTAAAAACTATCTTGGAACAGTCATTTATAAAGTGCACGAAAGCAAAAAGGTTTTTACCAAGGTTTAGTGGGGTTGTGGCTAAATACAGCTGAGCCGGACCCTACATTATCATCGCCCTAACTGGAAGGAAACAAAGGGGGCTTCCCCTGCTACACTGGAGTACGCGCATGTGTTCTCACACAAGCTCTGTGTACTCTTAGCATTATCGATCGTACAATTCTGCTCTCTTTGGTTTCTTTCATTCATCCGTTCTCAGATTGTTTTTACAGTTTAATCTAATACAAATCAAGATGGCTTATGTAATTACACACCAATCTTAATTGCGTAAAAACAAATAACCCAATTCTTTAAGACTTAAATCATCAAATTCCATTTAACAGATAAAAAAAAAAAAGAATAGATTGTAAAAAGATATATTATCCATGTACGGATAGTGGATACTGTTTATTCGACTAAATTATTTGAATTTCTTCATTTTTATTAAAATAAATATTTAAGATTTATATTTACAGACAAATTAGGTAAATTTGATGGTTAAGTTTACAAAAAAATATAATACAAGAGTACATGTGAGAAAAAAAGCTACACTACTCATAGCATCACTTCTAAACAATGAAATTATTCTATTTTAAATCTGATTTTTTCAAATTATCATTTAATTATACTATCAGAATCACGATTATAAATATTTTTATTTTTCGTGTAATCGTAAACGTAAATATGAAAAATAACTTATATAGGAATCATGTTAAAATCCGAGACTGCGAATTTATGATTCTGATTTTCCTAAATAATTTAGATCTAAATTATTAATTATTTTTGAGCAAATAAATAAAATATGAACGTGCTAAAATTTGGTTGAAAAACCGAAAATGTTAACTCTGTGGCAATGAAAAGCTTATTCTTTTAAATAACTGATTGTACAAAAATATCTGAAGTAAAATTTTAGCAAATAAATAAATCTACCAATAGAGAAATATATATATAAAAATATATAATTTAACAAAAGAAATATTAATAAAAAATAAAGTTATTGATTGAAAAATACGACGTTTGAGTGTTATCATGTATTGATAAAATGAATAACATAAGTGAAATATTCAAATAATATAATACCTTTATCCAAAAACATTTAAATATTCAATTTAGATATTCTTTAAATTTCAAAATGTCATCAGACGTTAACGTTAACATATACCTAACCTTGCTACTGCATAAAACATCATGGATATTTTTCATTTTTATAAACATTTTTTTTTTAAATATTAGTACATACAACTATACAAGTAGAAAGATTTCCTAAAGAATAATAATATGAAAGAGTAGATATGCTGTATAGTCTAGTATAGATATTAAATATTCAGATCATAATAAGTCCCTTGCATGAAAAGGGTTTCAATAGTATGTTAAGTATTAGTATACATTACAAATCAATATGCCTATTCACTAGGGATTCACACTTTATTTTAAAAATGAATTTTAGAAGCCATGAAAAAAAATTCTAGAAAAATCATAGAATATGATTAAAAGACTAAAGCATAAAAACTATAAATACGTCTATGGAGGTAATAATTATTAAAGATATCGAACAGTTTTGTTGGTAAGTATTTTTATATTTATCGTTTATACTGAATATAATATATTGTATAAGTCAATTTTAATTTAAACTTGGAAAACTGATCATTGAAATATTATTGATAAAATCATAAATATAGTACAGATAAGAAATTAAATCTCTGAACTATAATTTAATGTCTTTTAAGTTCTAGTTTTTAAGAATAGTATTTTGATTAACAAAGGAAATAATAATTAAATTTATGAAAGATAGCATTATTGAGTAAGCTATCAGAATCAATTTATGATTTGCTAAGCTTGAGTTGCTGGGCTATTAGATATACTAAAACAGATCATTTTTTAATATTTGAATAGTAAACTAAGTTATAATTTAGATTTCAAAATTACAATTGCTAACAATTTTTACTCTCAAATTATATTTGATGATTTAAAGACCATAACTTTATTGTAATTATAATATCTCTTTACAACTAGTGTACTATGTAACAATATTTTTTTATTAAACAAATTTTGGAATTTAATTAAGAAACATACATTATACAACAATGTATTATTGTTAATAATCCATTAGTTAAATAATTGTAAATAATGTTTATACTGATATAGTGATAATATTAAACTAAATTAATAAAATACCATTTAAGCTTGGTCAAACAATAATTACAATTAAATATAAATTCAAATATAATATATGATATTTTAAATATTTATAATGAGGTGGATAGGTACTTATTTATTTTTTCAGATATCTACTGTTGCCAAAGTATTTAAGTCTCAAACTATTTAATACATGCCTGTACTAAAATAGCATTAGCCCTTCTTACAAACAAAGAATCCTTGAAACTATTAAACATTAATAAGCAAACAAAACAAGTCATAGAATATTGGCCATGCAAAAATATACTTTTAGTTCCCTTACACTTAATTACATTTAATTAATATATTAAGCATTTTGTGTAAGGAATGATTCGGGAAGGTGAAACTTACTAATCAAGAAAAAAATAAGTTATCAAAATGTTCGGTACTAATACAATATGCTATCTGCCATAAACATTAATTTATCTACCATAATTTTAAGTTGGTTTAATATGATATATTTAAATGAATAAATTAATCTATTTCCACAGTTATGCCACGACCATTTACATTCAATTTTGAAATTAAGTTACAGTTACATTTCAACATAAATTGTACCAGTCAACTACAAGTTGGTATTGGACATTTTGTAAGCACCTAGGCTTGTGTTACGTTTATTAGAAATACCCAATATCAGACAAGTTCTACAGTATACCACATGTTTACATATTTCAATGACTAGGTATACTATTACACTTCCTATTTGTAACCTAAAATGTATAATAAAAAATATGATTTTCAAAATAATTCCTACTGAATCTTGTTTTCTAAAATTACTAAGAGCTATTTTCTATTATTTTAATTTAATTGTTTAGTTTTTAGTTTTAGTATGTCTGTTCATTAGATACATAATCTAATAAGTCACATGTTAAAAAAAAAGTCAACACATAACTTCACTTGTATAGATACAAATAACGCATAATCAAAGCGTTCATATAAATAATTAAGAAATAATAATAATATAATAATAAAAATACCTACAATTGAACCATGTATAAACCCAAAACACAAACTCGTATTATTTTTGTTGTAAAAGTCCTACACTTAATGACAAAATATTAAACTATATACAAGTATAATACAATTTTGTATATGAATAGATTTTGGTAGATAGTATTCTAAACCACCAAACATACAGTATATAGCATACTGTACAAGTACGACATTTTTTTACTATTCATATACAAAATAATCAGTTTAAGTCAAATTTAATCCATAAATTATAAAACCATATTCTGTAGTACTTAATTTTAACAGTATTATTGTTAGAGACGCAATGTAAGTTGAATAAAAAAAAATGTTTTAACTATAATTAAAATTTGTTAAACTTAATTGTTTTATGAATTTAATAGACGCATGCACGTAATTTGACACATTTATAATATATTTTTCATTTAGATTGAAATAAAAATATAATTTTTGATAAATTCAATACATTAATCAAACATAATACATATTTTACTTTATATAATGTCAATAATATAGCATGATTATTGAAAATATTATTTTATAACTTAAAAGTTTCTTTTTAATAATATTCTTATTTGTAAATAAAAAAATATAATTAATTTTTATTACAAAATGCAAAATAATTTGTTTATTAAAAGCAAATAATGTACATTGTACACATCTCTTAAGATTTAATTTTTAAATATTTATAAAAAAAAGTGTAGGGTACACTTGGGACATTATTTACTTGTAGTTCTTAGAACTATCAACACTAATTTTAACATGTTGAACATTGAGTAAAATCATAATTATAAACATATTACATACAAAATTATTAATTAAAATTAATATTTTTAATAATCATGATATTAAAATACGATATTTCATTTAAACATTAATCCTTCAATAAAATATTTGTAAGTGTAAAATTGTTTGTGTACAATATTACACACTATTGGAAGCAACAAGTACTTGTGTTAGATTTGAAACATCAAAGGGTTCCATATCAATAAATGTATACTTGAATTATTATATTTATTTATATTATTGACTGTTATGTATTTAATTGTTTAATTTGATATAAATAATATTCAATGAACTTACTTTAAGTAAGGTTAAGATTTTTTGACTCAAATCATAATCAAAATTTGAATACTTGGAATCAGACATGTCGTAAATGAATACCAACCCACATTTTTGAGTCTGGACGTTTTCAAGAGCAATATCCAGTTGGTAAACAATACCCTATTTTAATAAAAAATAATATGTTAAATGTATTATTATGTTACAAGACATATTTTAAATGTTGTGCATACCTGCAAAGTAGTTTGATGAGAAGAAAACTGTGGCACATGATAACGTGCTGTAAAAACAGCTATAGCAGCACCTGTTGAATCTCTTGTTGGCTATAAAAAATAAACACATAAGTTAAGTATGTGACACATGAAGATCAACTTCAACAGTTCATCATTACCAAAATTGTAAATTTCTGAGTTTTAATTTCACTTTTCAATGGTTCAACAGTACAATTAAACCCGAACAAACCCTCGCGCAGCCTGGTTTCTTCATGCTGCTCGTGTAACAGTACAGCTCTAGCAACATCAAATTTCCTTGCTACCAAAAACTTGAAAGCAGAAGACCGTGCTATGGGCGGTTTGTTTTGTAATTTATGCATATGATTGATCGTGTGGATGAATTCGTCTACGGCCTACAAAACCAACAAACAAAACTAAGTCATTAGATACACACATAAACTGGACACGGGGTCAAGTAGCCATGTATCATAATGAACACCTTTGTGCTTAATAATACAGTGTTGTCGGTGACCGGAGCATTAGCACTTAGACAGCAGTCAGACGTTATATTATAGCCGTACATGTCCGCCTTTAACCGACCCACTCACCCGTTCTTGCTCCAGCGTAAGATCTCCGATTTCCATTTCGAACGTATTGCGATCATCAACTGTGGAATTATTATTCTTGTTGGACACCCGAGCAGTACATTCACACCGACCTGCCGGATCTGTTATGGTCCTGGCTTTGCGCTATCAAGCCACCACTAAGATGAGGGACAATGAGCCGTTTGTATGGCACATATTGGGTTGTTGTTGAGATTTTGATTATTTTACAGCGAACAGAACGGTATCGATAACGCGTTTGGTAACGAAATTGGATAGAATAATTAATAATATCGTTGGGTCTAATGTTGTTAAATATTTTTTTGACCGACGTTTGTTGAATGTTTTGTTAACCTTTTTATTTTTTTTTTATCAATGTTACGTATACAGAACGCTACCTGGTGGAGTCGGCCCGAAACTACTAACGACGATAACACGACCGCTACTGTTGACGATTTACGGAGACGCAACCAGTGGCGGCGGCGTCCTTCGAAATGTCGAATACGTTTATAATTTTGTAAAGGCCATCGGCGTACCCACGCGACCACGCACAATCATAATTCTAGTTCCCCTCCTCCACAAACGAATGTCTCTACAGCCTTATGACAATTAGGACATTTTTTCTCAAAAATGTAAAGTTATCATTCTGCAATCGAGGTAAGTACGCCGCTCCTCATAGTATAAATATTAGGTGTATTTTTTTATCACTTCCTATCCCCTCCAGGCTCCAATATGTATAACTCCAAAATTCTAGGTACGTCCGTGCATAAGTGCATAATGACAAATGAAAAAAAAAACAATAATTTCGTCATCGGTCTCACAGACACACAGCTATAAATTATAATATGTATGTAGGCCAAATTACTGTTTATGTATAAGTGTAGGTATGTACTATGTACTATGTAGGTACAAATGACCAATTTCAGACATGCGAATGGTGACTAAATTATGACTTCAAATGACTAAATACCTAGGCATGCAGACATACAGTGTGCAGAATACTCAGTGTTCAATCTAGGTATAATCTAAGGAGGTGGATGACCGTAGACAAATGTCGACAAAATGTACAATATACTCGTTATGGTTTTATTATCTTCTAATATTATTATCAATGATACCGTTCACATACTTTTCATGGAAATAGGTACCTAGAACTAAAACTTATCTAATCGTGTTCAATGAAATATTATTCATTTTTATACCAATGATTTAATAATGTTTATCTACCATTTATTAATGTTACCGAAATTATAAATTATATGAATATAAGATGTAGGTATGCGTAATGCATTTTCAAAATTAAAAACGTGTCTTAAAATTAAAAATACATATTTACAAGTTATTTCACCGACCTCCCAAACACGACTACACCAGAACCTATAATACTGTGTTAGTGTATTGTGTATTATAGCCTGTACTCCACGCCATGTCCACCTTTTGCCACTGAACACAACTGTGTTTACCTTATAAGCTATAGGTAAGTTATTACATACTATGGTATTATATCCCTATAGTTAAACAATTAGAATGCATAAAAAAATAGTATCAAGAGAACAGAAGAGCATCAGTGATATAGTTTGTGACCAATAATATATTTTAATTTCAAATTGCGTATCGTATATATTACAGGTTAGCTCACCCTCAATACATTTTCATCCTATGTGTTCCCACCTATATGAGTTTGACAGGAAGCGGAAACTTCCTAACTTATTGGTACTCGCAGTGTGAGGCACAATAGAACTGAACAATGAAATTATTTCAGTGGCGCAAATATAGAAGGCAAAATATGGCAATGGAGGCATTACCGCCCCAAAATCTTAACAACCCCTCTCAAATGGTACATAAGTAGTAGGTATAAGCACTTTACGCAGCATAGACAGCATAGTATATTAGTATGTATGATGTATTTATATCATATTATGGTTGGTACGATTTTCCTGGATTTCTCCTATACTGCATGGTAGAAGACTTACGCTAAGTAAGGATACCTAGGTATATTATACTCATGAAAAATTCAAGAGACTGAAACCCATCTTAGAATTTTGCATATACTCGGCTAATTCTAACGAGAAACATTTTGAATAGATACAAACGAAATAATAGTAAAATAATTGTACAGATACCTACATAATATAATTGTATTCGTAGAAACCGCTTTCGTTTACCATGTCAATAAAGATCAAACATGTCATAATAGTTAGTCATCGGAATATTATAATAATAATATCATGGCACAATATTCGTTTCATTTAAGTGTATATAATTACTTCCCGTGCGTCCTGACTTCTTGGAATTACCAGCGGATTAGAATCTCGAAGTCGTGGAAATACTTGAGCGCACATACGGGATAAAACCTGTGGTAAACGGGAAGTAACATACTAACATAATAATATGTATGGATGCCTACTATAAATAGTGACGTACTACCAAAATTGATCTACCCACCCTTTTGTGAGTTCCAAACGATAACTTCCTGTATGTATGTATGAATATGTTATTATTATTGCATGTTCACATACATAGGCACCCACAAAATCATGTATAGGTATATACTATATGATATACGTAGAATTAGAATACAACATTTTGCAGCACTTTTTAGCTACTAAATACTTTGTTACCTAATAGAAATTCAATAGGTATACATTTTTTCGCTTGCGTAATGTAAACAAATGTGTTCGTTTAATCGTAGCATTTAAGACCGACTGTAAAATCTTGTCCACTATAGCTGTAAGATTATGTCCTGAGTGTTAATAAGTGTCGGGGTAATATAATTTACCATTAATTGAGTTTTCCGTTAGATGCATTAATGACAGTCAATATCACTGGCTCACTTTTTCTAATACATGCAATGAAGTAGATGTTTCAAAAGAAGTTAAGTGATCCATTTCAATTTGGTTAGCTTCTGTTTCGTTATTTTCATTCACATTATTTTTAGTTTTTACTTCTCTCCGTTTTTGAAACATCTACTCATCAAATCCGTTTCCTAGAAAATGCAAATCAGTGTTTCATTATACTATATCCATTACTACTGAAGTCCATATATTTGAAAAATTATTATTACTAAAATATACCAACTTACTTAGCATGCCAAAGGCGATAAAGTCACAATGATTAAATTTTAATTAGCACAACCAGATTCAACACCAACTAATGACTGACTTGTGATCACAATGACACATGGAAATGGAACACTGGCGCCAGGCACTAGGTATACCCACTAATCAGCAATCAAGCAACAAAATAATATCACTGATATACAGAATAAATTATGAGTATGATAATACAATGAAAGTACTATAGGAAACTAGAAATGCATTAACTAAAAATTCTAAATTTAATTTATCAGCTTGATCCCCTCTAGAGTCCTCTAAATATGCATTATTTATCCGAACACGACGAGCTTGATGAATAAATGTGAATGTGTATTGGTATACTTATCTTCGTTTGTGTAGGTACCTATACATCGCAAGTGTCGATATACATATGAATGTTGAAGAATGAGGAAGCTTAACATCGTGGTGGGTCGTAGGTATAGATACCTAATATTATACACGTAGGCAGAGACTGTCGACTATAGTCATCAAACTTTCACTTTCAAGACACTCTGTTTACAATGACGCAAGGGTGAGGCCTCTTCACAGTTTGAAATTAATTAATTATCAAATGGTAAATCCACATTGATAAAATGGAACTAGCCACCTGCAGTATTTAGATTTATAATTTTATTTATTTAGAATAAATTAAAGCACAAGGATACAGGTGAATGGTGGATAATTTCCCCCAGACATTTCTCTACCATATTTTAAAAAAAAATTTATTTAAGTATGATTTTTTTTTTTTTTTGTTACGTCTAATGCCCAATTTTGTAGTAAGACAGAATACATTTCCGAATATTTCCAATTTTTATAAATATAATAAATTACAGATGTATATTTTTCATCATTGTCTATTTGAAACAATAAAAAGTAGGTACTATTAAAATAATACAAATAACAATAAGTTATGTTTAAAATAAGTGTTATAATAATCGAATTATTTAAAAAAAAAACCCATTTCAATTATAGTATGTTCTGTATGTAATTATTAGGTACACTATTTACCAAGATACATAATATATTTTTGATACAATAAAAAGTACTATTATAATAACAAATAAGAAACACTAAATTAAATTTTTAACAAAAATATAACTTTAAAAAAAATGTAATAACTAAAATATTTTTTCAATAAAATATAATTATAATAACTGATAGTAAAAAGATGGCTGGATATTCCGACATATTTTCTAAAGAAAAATTATACAAAAGACAAAAAAAAAAAAAATGTCATATTCAAATAATTTTGAGGTGGGGAGGAAATGTCAGCGGTAAATTATCTATTTGCCATGTAAATATATATTAAATAATACAGTTGGATTTAATAAAATAAATGAAATATTATCATTCGACGATAGGCAGTAAGCCATTAAATGAGTACCTAAGTTAAGTCAGGACTACTCTGATTATATCGCAAAACAGTATAGGATGTCTGGATTCGAATATTTAAATTTTTAATATAATCTATGCAATTGTTGCGTCACTGTCCGTCAAATATATCTACATTGCGATTCGCAGTACATTATAATAAACTACGCGTGCACCGCGGCGATGTAGGTATTTCACATTGGGTGGTCATACGTATTGTATTGGCACCACGGTGGCACCGATCCGTTTTTTTAAATAGCAAAACAGCAGTTGTTACATACTACACATTATAATATAATATAATATGAGTAAACGCCGTGTTATTTGTTTACGCACAAAATAATATATGTGTTTGAGACATTAAATTCTCGTCCGAATGTGCAGCTACCATATTACGTCTGCGGTCGGCTGTTACGAATATTAATAGAACAATATGCGCATGTATACCTTGGTATGATAATTAAAAAAAAAAATGCGATTGCTCGATAGTGTTTGTTCGCCGGAAATCGGCGTCAACTTGCAGCAGTGCTGCACCCGGGCAGATGGTACCTATATAATATTATGTTGCTCGCGAATTAATGACGACACAGATTTCGTAATCTGGTGAAATAAAAAATTCCTATCCATCCGCAGTGTTGAGGCAACGTGTCAGCAGCAGCAGCAGCAGCAGTCCTTACAATTTAATTTGCACAAAATACTATACGCATAAATGCATAATATAAATAAGTCTCGTCGCATAATTTGTGCCGTAGATAATCGTGACGCAGGGGCGCCGAAACCCATATTGATGTAGGGCGACTGCCCTACATATTGAAGTGGGTGGGTGGGTCGTGGGTGTGTGGATAGCAGCCGGTAGACCTAACCAAATATTTTATGTATCTTATTAAAAATACATTACAT